ACATAGTTTTAAGACGAGGTTTGATAGAGCTCGGGGAGCAGGGAGAGAGAGAATCCAGTGGCAGTCAGTGAAGAGGCGGGGCCAGGAGCTATGAATCGACCCCTGCAACCACAAATAGGTGAGTACACTGACCAAATGTCAGAAGTTATCAGGTACGTGCAAATGGAGGATGGAAGAGTTCAAGTGAAGGAAGTTTCTCTTGATGTTTTCCCTCTGAAGGGCAAAAAAGCTGCTGATATTAGTTCTGATATCCTGAAAAAGCTGGAAAGTGATGGACTGGACTTCATGCTGTGCTGTGCTCAAGGATATGACAATGCTGCCACCATGACCGGGGTCCAAGAAGGTGTATAAGCCATTCTCAAGGAAAAGAACATAGAAGGCAATTTTCATTGGTTGTGTGGACCCTTCATTGAACTTGTGTGGTCAGCATTCTTTTGCCAAGAATTCATCATGTGTGAAATGTTTTGGCAGTCTTGAGTCAGCGTACACATTCTTTGCCTCCTCCACCCATTGATGGGATGTATTAATGGACCATACTGCAGTCTCTTTGAAAAGATTATCAACAAGATGGAGTTCTCATTACAATGCAGTGAAACCAGTAGCTGAATCGTTCGAGAAATTTGTGGCAGCGATTGAAGCTCTTTACACAAATAACCCGCACATAGAAGAAAGGAGCTTACGACGATGTTTCGGTCCGACTTGGACGTCCAAGTCAGCCCGATACGTCATCGTAAGCTCCTCTCTTCTATGTGAAATCGCACACAGCAGGGAGAAGACCTTGTGCTGCTCCTCTTGTATCCAAATTTTCCCGTGGATCGCAAAGAGCTTCAATAAATAACAAAAAAGGCACAATACCGTGACTAGAAAATACACAAATAACCCTGACACAGAAGAGAGGAGCTTACGATGATGTTTCGGTCCGACTTGGACGTCCAAGTCGGCCCGATACGTCATCGTAAGCTCCTCTCTTCTATGTGCGACTTGGACCATTTGGTCCAAGTCGGACCGAAACGTCGTCGTAAGCTCCTCTCTTCTATGTCAGGGTTATTTGTGTATTTTCTAGTCACGGTATTGTGCCTTTTTTGTTATTTATTGAAGCTCTTTGCGATCCACGGGAAAATTTGGATACAAGAGGAGCAGCACAAGGTCTTCTCCCTGCTGTGTGCGATTTCACATTTTTGTGTTATCTGTATTTCTGGTGCGACATACTTCGGGAGGTTCAGCTTGCACAGCAGTACTTGCAGGCTAAGGATTTAACTCTTGACAAAGTGGTGGTGAAGCTAGAGGCACTGCAATTATTTTTGAATGAAGGGCGAGATCGCATGGTGGAGAATTCAATACAACAGGCACTTTTGAAATGTGAGAAGTATGGATTTCCAACAGAGAGAAGAATCGGGGTAAAGAAACGGATGGCAGGGGAGCAGGCAAGAGATGCCGGACTCACTCTACAGGAAGAAAACGAGAGGGCGATGTTGGAGTGCACTGATCGTTTCCATAATGAACTCGAGATGCGATCAAAAGCAGTCAAGAATGTGGCAGCCATATTTGGGGTCATTTAAACAAAGAATCTTGTGCAAGCTACTGAAGAAGAATTGGAGGTGATGGCTTCAAGATTCACAGTCTTCTATAATGAAATATGCAAGAATGAGCTCATGCTTGAAATACCAAGACTAAGGAGGCACCTGCAAGCTGCTGATGATGATCTTGAAAAAGTTAAGCACTGGACTACATTGGATGCACTAACATTCATAGCTGAATGGGATTTCATTGAATCTCTTCCAACTCTGACACACTGCCTGAGGCTGTTCCTTACTATATGTGTTTCTGTGGCTTCTTGTGAAAGGAGTTTCTCCAAGTTAAAGCTGATTAAAAACTATTTACGGTCCACAATGAGTCGACCCAGAATCTGTAACTTAGCAATGTTATCCATAGGAAATGGGTCAGTTGACAGCATTGATTTTGATGAAGTGATAGATGATTTTGCAGGATTGAAGGCAAGGAAATGTAAGATCTGATTCATTGAGATGTTACCTGTATTCAAGGTCAAATCGGAACTACTGTTTCTCTGATATTGCAACTTTTTTCTTTATTTTTCAAGTTTTTTTTTTTTGGCATTGTTGAAGATGAATAAATGTAGGATCTGTTGGCTGTACTCCAAGTGGTATTTGAGTTTGTTTCCTCAATATTACTATGATTATTTATTTTGTCATTAATAAAGTTGAAAAGTATTCTCCTGTTTAGTTTATGGCCCTTAAACGTTCTCATTGCTAAACAGTAGTCACTGGTCATGCAGTAGTGACGTAACTGGAATTTGCTCCCCCCATCCCTGGATTTCATGGGGGTGACACCAAAGATGCCGCCCCGGGTGACACCAACCCTAGCAACGCCTCTGATATTCAGAGAGGTATATATCCCTCAGTGTGTGTGTGTGTGTATATATATATATATATATATACATATATACATATAATATATATATATATATATATATATATATATATATATATATATATATATATATATATATATAATATATATATATATATATATAATATATATATATATATAATATACATACATATATACATACATATATACATACATATATACATACATTATACATATATTACATTATATATATATATATATATATATATATATATTATATATATATATATATATATATATATATATATATATATATATATATATATATATATATATATATATATATATATATATACTGAGAGCTTACTTTAATCCCTTTAAAAGGGTTTAAAGTACTTGTGAAAACTTACGAGGGCATCGATACGAAGTGGATATTGCCTTCGCCGATTAACTGAGTTGATAATCTTACCATTACAATTTTTCCTATACACTGGCATCACTTATGCACAACAAAAAAAACTTACTTGAGATATGGAGACTGTCCCAAGCTGGAGATTTCTCGATGGCCTACCATCCTGGAATATGAACCCTCCGGCCGGTGAAGATGCGTTACCTGTAAATGTCAATTAAACTATATGATTTCAGTTGCTATGCAATCCCAGAAAGGTATCCCTGCATTCCACAAGCCCAGCCCCGTCTGTCTTCATGAACGCAAAAGAAATAATAAAGAGTGAAGCGTAAATTTCTAATGCTGACAAATATCTAAGTGGATATACCGTATGATACACCAGCGTTAAAAGTTTATCAGAAAAGGCATTCACCATTACTGCACTGAACCTAATTTGTTTAAAAAAAATGCGAAGCTTCCGCTGAGAAAAATACAAGAGAGATCTTTTTTTTTTTAAGCCGTCAGTGGCGTAGCCAGGGTCTAACGAGTAAATTATGAACCACATATTGCAGCAGTGCTCCTTTCTTTTTAAATGGGTGTGACCAGGACCTACCTAGCATGGGCCAGTAGGCCTGCTGCAGTGCTCCTTCTTTATGTTCTTATGCTACCTTCAAAAGCCGCTTATTACATAAAACGTGGTAATAACGTTTTATTACATAAAACATGGTAGTAACTTTCGTTTTGTGGCTTATATGTTGCTTTATGAAAATTCTTATTTTTCAAAATTACTGACAACTTTTAGTTAAGAGCCGATTGCCTTATATAGCAATCGGTAAATTTTAGCTATACAAACTTCCATTTCAATTACTTCTGAAACGTAAGACTTTCTTATAAGGATATTATTGGTACATTCCGTTAGATGTCGATCTTCTGGTGACAACCTGTTCTTTTTGCCCTCTACGACTGATCAAGATCTGCATGCATCTTTTAAAGTGCTTCAAAATGCGTACAGAATAACGAAGTTTACAACAGCAAAGTCAAAGGGGTGGAAAAAAAAAGCCGAATGTGCATCTTAAGCAGCGACCACTTCCCAGCTCCGCCCCTAGATATGCCACTTAGACTTAGGCTGATGAGTCTTTACTGGAATACTTAACAATATTCTCGGTGCCCTACTAAAATCTCAGCTCAGGCTGGCAAGTTTTAATTATGCATGTTACCCATCTTGTGTAACTGGAGTATGACAGGAAAACATAGTTAGTTTTTGTTCCCACTATGTAACTGTCATACAGAATATGAAGCCGCTCAAAAGCTGCATTATCAAGTTATCAGCTAATAGAAGCGACACAAAAATTATCACATACAGTGCTGTTTCAATTTTTCAAATTTATTCCATAAAAGAAAATGCAAATTGGGAACTACACAGACCAAAATCAAACCAATCTTTTCTTTAAGAACTGACCAATGTTTAGGTAAGCAAGTAAATGATTAAGAAAGAAAGTAATTAAGTTACATTTAAACTTTGGGTACCTATGCAAATTTAATAAAACACACAAATGTTCAAGGCACATACACGTACATTATGTGGATTTAACTTAGGATAACCCAATAAAGTCAGACACTGATTTATTCCTGATCAGACGAGATATTCTTCAGTTATTTCACAGAAACTAGTTTTTAATAAAATTGGCAAGCTGAAACTTACACAACCTAAAATCAAGGCTAGTGTTTGAGAAAAGCACATGAGCACTAAACGTTTAAGCTGACCAAAAGATGCATTCTTCAGTTATTGCAGATAATCCAACAAAATTTGCACCTACATAGCCTATACCAAAAACTCGAAAACATATCATCCATTTCAAAGGACTCATGAGCTATAGCTCATGAATTAGAGGACTTTAAAATCTTCATTCGCGCACCACCTGTCATTGCTAGAAAAAAAAATCCTAAAAACTGCAATCTTTGATCTCTTAAAGATTTACATTAGCTCAAATACAATCCCCAGGTAGTTATTCAGTCTCTGTTCATACTCTGAGTATAGTACGCAGAAGTTCTACTTTGACAGAATAGTGCGGTAAAAGTATTTAACAAAACTTTTTACACTGTGCTGAGATTGTCAACGGGCATGTGTGTATCCTCCTGTTACTCTCATACATGAGAAAACACCATTTGTATGTCGTATCATTTGGCCTCTGGCAGTTTTCCCATGTGGTGATGCAAACAAGAT